TAATTTCTTCTAAATCGTTCATTTCAGATTCGAAATTTGAAAATTTCAGACAATTTACGTCCAGCAGTCTATTGAAGAAACACATAATGTTTAGTATCGTCGGAATTATTCAATTTGGGAGAACGTTTCATTTCGTAATGAAAATTTCAAAAGTGAAGGTCGTTTCGATTACAAATGAAAATAAGTTCCATATCAATATAATCCGTAATGAAATATGGCATAGTTTGCAAATTGGTGAATGCGCTAGTTAATACAAAATATACATCCGTAGTAGGCCGTAATATGGGAATTTTGTGGTGTATTTGTGTATTTGTCGTATATATATATATATATATATATATATATATATATATATATATATATATATATATATATATATATATATATTACATTCATTCTCTTATTGCTTCAAGGAATCGTATAATGAACGAATTTGTGCTATTATCAGAGAGTGATTATTTGTCAGAAAAAATAGAAGAAAATAATTGTTTTTGTTATCGTATCCAAGATAATTAGTTCGGTGCATTGACAATCTATATTCAGTTATTGAAGCGAATTGCAAAAAAATGAATCGAGCAACCAACAGTGCCTTCGAAAACGATCATTATTCGAAAATCATTCCGAATTTTCGTGATGATATATTATCACATAAACCGACAGAACCCATCAACTGTTTCTCAGTAGCGACGTATTTGCGAAAGGAACAGTTTATCGGAAATGTATATCGATATAAACACCACCAGGCATTTCTAACCCTCGTATCATATTTAGAAATATTTCTCGATAAATAACGATGCCACTCCGTTCCACAAAGTGCCAGAAATATATCACCCTCACGATATCAGCCAGACTGTATCGCTTTCAGTCGAAAATAACACTTTTTCTAAATCGTTTCGAGTCCAAATCCGAACGGCTACCCTTATTCAATGATCGAACTTCTGCCGCTCTTCTTAGCTGAAATATTTCCCAATTCCGATTGATAGATCGCGACCGAAATGATTCGATATTCTATTGTCTCGCCATAGCGCGTTTCTATCTCTGCCAATGCTGCCAAATGGCAAAAGCGTGAAAATGGAGTTGTCTAGTCGCCCGACTGCTGGGTTATTAAACCGATCGATGGGAAACCGTTCAGCGATGACGGCCGCCTCGATTCGAGTGTTGTGCTCTCGCAAAGGCGCGATTCTTATAATGTAATCTCACTCTTCGTCCTTATCGACCTCCTACGTCTCATCAGAAAAGAAGACCCGCATGGTCATCACGTTGACTTGCATCAAGATAGGATTTTGAGAGAAGAGGGTTGAAGTTTTCTTTGAGGATCATGAGAAAAGAATTTGGAAATTTATCATACCAGATTGTGATGATCTTTACTTAATGTGCTCAGAGTATTCTCGAAAACTCGTGGATTAGAGATCAACTTGGATGCATTTCTTTTATAAATTGCAGAGGAAACGTAAAACAAATCGTTATCAGCTGGTTGAGCTATCAGTTCAGAAAATTGCCCTGAGGATTTCATCATTATATTCGATTCTATGCTTTCAATCTACTTTAATTTCAATATTCAAACAATATAAGTAGAATATTATTTCACGAAATGAGTTTATGAAATTGATATCCGAGGATACTCTTTCATATCTTGTTTCACGTTTCATACTTAGTCTTTTATGCTCTCCTGGTCTGATATCGATAATTCATTCTATTCCTAAACATAAGAAATATCTTGAATTCCACTAGATCTAATCATGAATTACTGTTCAATTCACTAATTAAGAAATAAGCTCGTTTCAACTCACCCCTAACTCGGATATACACTTGTGTCATTACTTTTTTCACTTATTCGGATTTTGCTAGAACTAAAAATACTTAGAACAGGAAGATGGCAAGACAAAAAGGTTTTTGTGATCTGGCTGGCACAAAACCTGTTGTATCTCACAGTTAATGACCAATAATTCGGAAATACCGTGATAAAATAACAATTATGCTCAAATATCGATTATTCAAAATAAATTCACCTAATATTCGAAATGTATTCACCTTCTGTTGTAGTTAAGACTTCGACATTTTCAGTAATACCAAGGATACAGAAACAAGCGAGAGACAAGGGAAATATGAACTGCTATGACCTCATCCAACACAATTTATATTCAAGACGTAGAGGGACAAATATCGATGCAAAAATGGAGATGAACATGTGGAAATTTCGCACCAAACGAGATTTACCATTTTGTGAAAAATTGGATGGCTGACGTTTTTCATTTTTTGTACGGTGTATTAATTTGAGTAACGAAATAATCGGCTCTAGGATTTTCATTCAATCAAGAAAATGAATACATATATATATATGTTTGAAATATATTGTAACAACTCCTATATTTCAGGTATTAAAGTGTTGAAATTAAACTTTCATAATTACTTAGAACCTCTACAAATTACATCATATCTTCAATGCAGGCTATCATTTTTCAACTTCTATCTCCTCTGAATATTATGACTAATGAATTATTTATTCATTCCTTCTAGGCACATTTACAGATATTTCTGAATGACAGTAAAACAGAAATTCTATAAACTTCCAATTCTCCTGTTTTCTTGGAAACCAACCTGAAATTCCATACCATCTGGGATTTACTATGATGAATATATTTGTCCTGATACTTTCTCAAAAAATGCCGTAGCGTTTTTGTCAATGTTGAGATTTATTATGTGAGTTCGTTTTCATAATGACATCCATCACCCTCAATTGCGGTAAGTGAAAATTTTGTTATGAATTTTTCTACGAAGATGATACTGAAATGTTTAAGCTATCAGAACAATCATTTTGAGTTCGAAGATGTAAGTCAATGAGTCTATAGGCAAAAAAAAACCATATCAAAGAAGTAATTCGAATAAATTTAAGTAGTTTTCTGATTTTCACAAGGAGTTAAGTTAAAATCTAACAATATTGTTTCGCCAATACAGTGACTTAATCAAATGTAGATGATAAACTGAAGCATCAGTTTCAGCTTCATCACATATAGATGATAAACTGAAACAGCAGTTTTAGTTTATAATGTCAATCTGATGAAGCCACTGTAATGGCGAAACAATATTGCTTTGTTGTAACATAATTATCGTGAACTACTTAGTTTTATTCAAATTATGCATTTAGATTTTCACAAATTTCGGCTCAATCGTTTAATGATATCAAAGAAGGTCGCTATTTATTTTTTGATGGAGGATATTTCAACCTCACGATGGTGCACCTTCGAACCGTCATTTGACACCAGGAAATGAGCACAACTATCAGTAGATAGCGCATGAAAAACGATCGATCAATTCATTCACAATATTTCTATTTCGAGAATGTTTCCAGTACCGAAAAGCCCACAGGAGAAAATTGAGTTCTTTCTGTTTTCAGAAGTTCCTATTTCATTTTCGTGGAGTGCTTGAGTACACCCTCAGTTTGTTCAAATGATGGCCCGCATGAATCCGTGAACGGAGGTCAGTTTGATAAATTGAAGAAAAACAGAAGGAAAATACACCGTCTCGTAGTGAGACGACCTAAGCTCGTGTTCATTCTTTTTACGTACCCATGTTATCAGTTAAGCGATTTACCGCATTCTAAATAGATGGACACAATCAAGAAAATTGAGTTGATTCAGTGGCGTCTGTGAGCTGGTTAAAGACACAAAATTCGACGTAAGATATGCCAAATGGTAAAAGCGATAATGAACTAATTATTGATTTCATTCCAAGAATGGGCCAACCAGTGATCAAAATTCGAACATAATTCATTCCATCCTCACACTTGAACTCCATAAAGGTAATTTCGTAAAATTTTTATGTTCCTATTATATATAATCCTTTGTTTATGATTTTCTGAATGATTTTGAGCAAGTTTCATTTCAAAATCACGAATAACTATCCAAATGAAAACAATTCCAATATTTAATTTTTTTCATTGTTTCAATGACATCAAATATTTGTATTATTAGGAATGCACGAGCTCATGAAAATTGTGAAATTTTTCTATAAATTTTAACTCATTTCAAGTTATTCTAGATGACATCAAAATTTCATCACTTACGAATTTCATTATCATCAAAAAATTGAATTTTTTCAATGAATCTTCGATTTCACAATGGTGATACATTGTAGTCTGTCAGCAGAACTTGAATGACAATTGTTTTGTGATACAGCAGAAAAGGTATCGATTTAACGATTTCAAGTTTCAGAAGCTCTTGAATTGGAAAATGGAAATTACAATGGCCCAAATGGCAATGGCCAAGTTCTATAGCAAAATAAAAAGAGACGAACTATAACGCACCACAAAAACTACGTTATGGTTCTGAAAAGGTACCTTCTGTGGAGTGGCTTTATGAATTGAGGAGAAGAGAGAAGAATATGGATAATTAATCAAAATTTCAAATAATCTATTGCCTGCAACTTATTCAGGTGGAATATTGTCTTTATAGGGTCAGAGCACCTCTTCTCTCGTATACTGACGACCTGCTTCGAACCTTCTCTTTGATGATCTACCTGGTGCTATTTGTTGTTCTCAAGAAGCGGGCTCTGCCTGGACAATTTCACGAATAAGTTATTCTTATTATCATCAAGTCTTTTCACATTTATATATATATATATATATATATATATATATATATATATATATATATATATATATATATATATATATATAGTACAGAAAATTATTCGTGCTAACCAACCACGTACGGACATGTAGAAATGTATTATTCAATTATAGTGAAAATTTAGAATCAAAGTTACATACTTAAGTTGGAACTCGACTCGGATTCGAATTCAGGTCTTTCACATTCAACTTCCAACTAAGCTACCGAGGTCCCCAACTGGGTTGAAGATGCAACTACAACCCAGATATATCAACTCTCCTATTCGTCAAGCTTGGCGTCGACGCTCGGATTATCGTCTGTGAGACATGCAGATGAAAGTGAGTGAACACCTAACCTCTCCTCTCAATTTTTCTTTGAGGACCTTGGTAGACCTTGGTAGCTCAGTTGGAAAAGCAGCAGGGCGTAAACCCGAGAGACCTGGGTTCGAATCCCAGTTGCAGAAAACTTTGGTATGTACTTTCATTCTCAATTTTCACTATAATTGAATAATACATTTCTTTATTGAATATTTCATTCTATATTTCTATTCATATATTCCATATTTATAATTGTAATTTATAATGTCAACAGTCGCATAATTCAAGTGTGACAACACTGCGTAAACATGATATAAACGAAGGCGGAACTGGTGAAACACCATGATCAGTTCAATAAAAATATACCCTTTGTTTGTTTCATAAGGTTTCATGTTTAACACCACCATTGTCAATAATTCATAAGTCAATAAGAAGAAAGATTTTTTTTTCCTGATGAGATGTAAGTCCTGGAGCAAAATCAGTTGCTCCATTGAAGATGTAATATTTTCCTGAATGCATTTCAGTTACAATCAGAGCACAAAAATAATGAAGAATAAGCAACGTTGAGAGTAATGATGAGTACACGTAATATGAACGTAAAACTCAAGTATATACAAGAATACTATAAAGGTGGAGTTCACTACCTCAATCAACAGAAAATCTTAGACATTCCGAATTAAGAGAATGTTTCTTTCAGTGTCAGAAAAAATAACAGATATTTTCAAGACGAAAAAACAAAAGTCTCAACACGTCATTTCTATTGGCAGTGGAGATACTCAAAATATATATAGAGTAAAAACAATACGATCCAACAGAAAAAATTGAGGTTAATTTTCAGTGAAGAATGATCTTCAATAAAGACAGTGAATACAATGTTCAAAATATTCGAATAGATGAAGTTAGTTAATGAAGGATAGAATTCAAAATAATAAGGCAGATGTTTGTTTCGTTCCATGCTACTAGGTTCTTATATATTTATATAACATCTTCTAGCATCTTCTTCCTGATTATTTTCTTCGCCAACCTTCACCGAAATAACGTTTCTTCATGCTGAAATCTGATATCCGCCATTGTCGCAAAGACGATATTACTTTCGCAACCCGTGCCGCCCCTCGTTTCCGAAAAAGGGTTACCTCGCCGCTGATATTTAGAGACAGAGAAATGAAAACAGATACACCAGCTGTCTCATTTCCGTAGCGAAGAAAGTTTTAATGGTTAAGGTGGATCTCGGGCACACAAAGCCGAGATTTAATTTGTTCCATCCGAATCTCCCTCTGGATATTTGCACAGGTTAATGAGATTTGTAGGAAAAGTAAGATACATAAATTAGGCAAAATCTAATTTCAATTTTTCATCTGTTCACAACCAGATAACCGAACTTCGGCCACTTGGATTCATTTCGAGGCGTCGCGGTTTGAATTATGGGCGAAATGAACAATTTCTAAACGTTGCTCGTTCCGAATGACAGATAAGAATTTTCAAGAAATTTCAGAATTATTTGAGTTCCTTCTCGAGATTCATTTGAAAAATTGTATAAACATCAATTCCGAATTCACTAGGTTTGTAGTCACCGACCTCTTATATGTGGAGAGTTTCTTTATTGATTTTAGAATGAAGAATGAGCAACCTAGTAGTAAGCAACTGATGAAACACAAATAGAATAATACGCAATTATATTAGACATACATATATTGATTTCACTAATTAGCAACTACACCAAAAATGAACTAACAGAAAAACTATTAAGACATATAGGTCAATTGAAGAGTCCCCAGCCTGACACAGAGATGGCATTACTAGAGTTAAATCCATATGTTTATTAGTTAGTCCTAACCTAAAAAGATGCGTGTATAAATTTGAGAGCTGCCGAATCATCAGTTTGAGAATTATAGCATTTTGAGTGAAGCAATTTTTGTTATTGTGAAAAAAATACAGTTGAAACAATAACGTGGCTTGATGCCGAGTTTCCGGACACTGCCCCAGGAAAATCAACCAGGATTGGTATGCGAAGTTTAGTCGTGGTGAAATGAGCACGAAAACGGTGAACGCAGTGTACGCCCAAAAGAAGTTGTTACCGACAAAAACTTCGAAAAAATCCACAAAATGATTTTGAATGACCGTAAATTGAAATTGAGTGAAATAGTAGACACTGTAAAGATATCAACGAACGTGTACATCATACCAGTATCATTCACGAATATTTGGGTATGAGAAAGCAATGTGCAAAGTGAGTGCCGCGCGAGCTCACTTTTGACCAACAACAACGACGAGCTGAAGATTCCGAGCAGTGTTTGAAGATGATCAAGTGCAATAAACCTGAGTTTCTGCGTCGATATGTGACAATGGATGAAACATGGCTCCACGATTTCACTCTGTCCAATCGACAATCATCCGAGTGGACTTAACACGATGAACGCGCTCCAAAGCTTGGAAAAAAGTCACAGTCGGCTGGCAAGATTATGCCATTTGTATTTTTATATGCGCATGGAATAGTTTTCATTGACTAGTTTGAAAAAGAAGGACCATCAACAGCGACTATAACATAGCGTTATTAGACCATTTGAAGGACGCAATCGCCGAAAAACGGCCGCATTGAAGAAACAGAATGTGCTGCTGCACCAAGACAATGCACCGTCTCACAAGTCAGTGAAAACGATTGCAAAAATCCATGAATTGGGCTTAGAATTGTTTCTTCATTCACCGTAATCTTCAGATCTAGTCCTCAGCGACTACTTTCTGTTCTCAGATCTCAAAAGAAGCTCACTGGAAAAGAAGTTTGGTCGAATGAAGAGGTGATCGCAGAAAGTGGAGCCTAGTTTGAATCAAAGGACAAATCTACTACAAAAATGGTATCGAAAATTTAGGAGGTCGCTATATATAATCAGTGTATCACCCTTGAAGGGAATTATGTTGAATAAAAAAACTAATTTTGCCAAAAAAATGTAATTTACTATGGTAGGCCGGGGACTTTCCGACTGTGTTCAAATTATAATTCATACATTCGAATGTGAGATTACGTTAGTAGCCAATTGAATTCCTTCTGCGAGCTACCAGTACCCCGCGATCAATAGCTTGATGATCGCTGTACTAGTTGCTTACAGTAACTTTACGGTCGTTGAATTCTCAATAAAGTTATAGAAGTTACAACCAATATGTGACTCATAGATATATGAACAATTCAATTCCCAATTTATTTTTTGTTCGCTTTCTTCTCTTGTAACTTCTTATTTTCATTTTCAGTTTTTTATGTTATATGTATTATAACTCTTTTTGATGCATGGCATTTGTTGCACTTTTCACTTTAAGAAAAAGGTATGTGTGCAAGTGAATTTAACAACCTGTGCTATGTGGTTTCGCCATCAGCTACATTCATTAGCTATTCATGTAGATTCACAGAGATTATTCTGCATGTGGGCATCTAGAAATCTCGTCAAAGAAGCAAGTCTTATATTTTCTTGTGGAACATCGAAAAAGGAGAATAATATTCAACTGAAATTTCTGTAGATAACTGTAACAACTAACAACAAACTCGCATGATAAAAAATACACTTCGTTTTGTTCCACCAGTATTTTATTGAATTAATTGCTCCACAATCATTTCGAGATGTTACCCCATTTCCAAAATCTGAACTTTAAGCTCAACTCAGTAAAGTTTCTGAAATTGGCGAAACACCTTCAAACAATTGTCAAGCAGTTAGTTAATTCAATATTATTTTTGTGTTCAAAAGAAACACTTGGTGTTCCACACCAAGTGTTTTTCATTTAATATATCGAAAAATTTTTCACCGGGAAATCAGCGAACACTCATTCACCTTCGTCAACAGACTTCCAGCCTAAATCATCAAGGTTTTACTGGAATTGAAACTCTGCCAGTAGTGTTAAAAATATAACTTTCGATTTTAAAGTTTTAAAATCCCCATCGATCTTTTGTGTGCAACAAAAGTTATGCGGGGTGAAAGGTCAGCATTTGAGGTTTTTGGATTTTTTTCGAAAGCTGTAAGTTTCATCAAAAAAACTCTCAAACCAAAGTTGTAGATCTTAAAATTCTCTACAAAAATGGTCGCAATAATTTATGATATTCAAGAGATACCATTCAAACGATATCACGATTTTAAGAGTCACATTATACATGATATAGCACATATAAGCCATGTATATACATATCACGCAATTAAGACAAGTATAAATGAAAATATTTTAGTCTCGTTTATATATATATATATATATATATATATATATATATATATATATATATATATATATATATATATATATATATATATATATACTATCCTAAAAACATTTATTCAAAAGATAGTCAGTCTCTAACTGAATCCTGTCTACCACCGTGGCCTTGAAAAACATCTAAAAATTTTATGAAAAAAACAAAACAATTGTAGTTGGTAAATATGTTCATTTGTTAGTAATACTTTTTGCAGGGATTCTAATAGATGAAATTATTTATTTCCTGAAACCTGGAAGAGCTCAACAGCGAACAGAAATATATTCTTCAAAAAGTTCAAACATGGCTAGGCAATCAACTGAATCCAGAAAACTGGGGTTGGAAATTGATAGATAATACTCTGGAACCGATTGAGAATTTACCCCCACCTGCTCCAGAAAAACTCATCAACACTATATTTTGCAATTGCAAAAAGGTTGCAGTGCGTAATGTGTCTGTAAAAATTCGGGTTGCTGAGTTCTCCAGCGTATACCAATTGCCAAGGTCAGTCTTGCTCAAATATCCAGTTCAGTACAATAAAAGAAGATTCCTGTGATTTTAATGAAGAGAGCAATGACTCAGCCACACTTGAACAATTCATGAACATCCAGCAAGAGGAAGAGAATTCAGGAATCCAATCCAGGAAGAAATCGAAGAAAACATGACAGTTAAAGTAGACTTTCAAGAGTATGAATCTGATCAAAATATCTAAAAAAATCAAAACAATAGTTAACCGAATAATCAATAGCAATAGCAATATCACTAATCAATAATCAATATCAATAACAAGGTAATATCTAGAACTTGACGAGTATTGTTTCCTCAAATCATCCTAAAATTGTCATGACAGTTAGTGAAGTAGGACTACAGGGGAAACCACGGCAAAAATGCGCAGAGTACACTACCTCACAGGTGGCGTGGAAA